TTTTTTTTTTTTTTTTTTTCCGTTCTCACTCTCCCTTTAACTGTAGCCTCAGGCAGCCAGGTCTTTGCAAACTGGTTGTCCTCGTGGCGGTGCCAACGGGAGAGGAACCTGCGCGCACATGCCCGCGCCGCCTCCCGGAGGCGCCCACCCCGGCGCTGCTCCGAGTGTGGTGGCTGCTGCTGATTTTATGGTGTGTGGAGGGGAAAGGAATGCTCAGGGTGGCTCCTCCTCTGCTTTCGTCGACCAATCCAGGTCCCGAGGAAGACAGACAGGGGGGCTGCTCAGGGACACACGCCCCAGGCAGCTCTGACTCAGATGGCAGGCTGTGGGATCGGGAAGCTGGCAGGATGCGAGAGAATGGGTTTCCCTTTGCAAGTTTTCAAGGAAAACAACTTGGTCCCTACAGCACATTCTTTGATATCAGAACAAGCCATCTAGAGGTACCCAGGTTTATTCTTGCTTAAAAGAGAGACGCGTGTGTGTGTATGTGAGTTCCTGAAATAGATACTCTGCTTTTTGGCCAGGATATTGAATTTATTTCCCCTCTAAATTTCTTTGAATTAAGAACCCAGGCAGTAATGCTTCAATTTAAAGTGCCTGAAACACAGAATATTTGATAATACAGGAGACTATGCTATAGATAGAAGGACTATGTAGGTAGGTACAATTTATCAAAGGTTCAAGAAGGGGTTTATTTCTGCTGCACTAATATCTAATATGTTTCCATGGCAAAGTTTCTTTTATCATAGCTGGAAAATTTTATGTTCATTATGATAGTTAAAAACCATATAGCATTAATGTAAACTATAGTTTGCTCTAAACACAGAAAAAATTTATGTAATTAGGCAGCACTCAGTTTTGAAAGCTTTACTGAGGTGTAATTGATATATAAAAATTGCACATGTTTAATGAAGACATTTTAATGAATTTGGACATATTCCTACAACTCATAATACCATCCTCACAATCAAGATATTAAGCATGTTCATCACCTCCAAAATTTCCCTTGTATTATTTTTTCTTTTGTTCTGTGGTAATAACACATCAGATCTGTCATCTTAACATATTTTGAAATGCACGATATTGTGTTAACTATAAGCTCTATGTTGTACACCATGTCTCTAGGACCTATTCATTTTTCAGAACTGAAACTTTACACCCACTGGGCAACAATCCCTTCACAATGATTTTGGCAATGACTTGGATTTGACACCAAAATCACTGGCAACAAAAGCAAAAATAAACAAAGGGGATTACATAAACCTAAAAAGCTTCTGCACTACACAGGAAACAATTCACTGAGTGAAAGAGCAGCCTACACAGAATGGGAGGAAATATTTGCAAGCCACCTATCTCATAAGGGGTTAGTATCCAGAATTTGTAAGAACCTCTTACAACTTAGGAGCAAAAAACCAAATAATCCAATTTAAAAATGAGCAAAGGACTTGAATATAGACACTTTTCCAAAGAAGACATCCAGATGGCCACCAAGTATATGAAAAAATGCAGATGAAAACCACAATGAGATACCATCTGATACTTGTTAGAATGGATATTATGAAGAGAGAGAGAAAGATAGATTAGAAAGACAGAGAGAGAGAAATGCTTTTTTGTTTTTTTTTTTGTTTTTGTTTTTGTTTTTAAGGCATTCATGCTACCTCCATAATTGAAGCCTTGTAAATTAAATCCACACATACCTTGGCAATTTTACTTATTCAAGCCAAGAAAAGTGCATGTTCGTTATTTATCAGAGTTTCTAAATGTTTTGTTTGAGCTAGGTTTGAAAGATTGTGGCAAAGTTACTTTTCAAATTAATTGAACTCCAGGTTATGAAATTTTACATAGTGTCTTTCTCTTGCTATGACTGTTTTTGGTTTTAGCTCTATAGAGTTTGTGGCTACTGATAATAGGGACAATAAAAAAGAATTATTTCAGGGTTAATTTTAAGTCCTCCATTATTTAGGTAAGGGCTTTCTCTTCTTTCCCTTTGTGACAGAGACAATGTGAAATATTATTCCTGAGCACTGAGCTAGATTAACATCTTCCGTCCATTCCTGGAGTCGGATGGGGCCTTATGACTGACTTCTAGCTAATGGGTCGAAGTGATGGGCGTTCTGTTACCTCCCTCATGATTCTACACATTTTCCCTCCAGGCTGCAGAATAGCTTTGCAGCCTCATGTTATAGGTTGACAGAACCACATCATGAAAGGAGCCTGGGTCTCTGAACAACAGCCCAGAGCACACCTCACAGCTCCAGCTCCCTCCACACCCTTGAACTGCGATACGAACCAGCGAATAATACTGTGTTAAGCTGCTGAAATATTGCTGTTTACTTACCACAGCAGCTAGCATTAATTGCTTTTACTTTTAAGCTTGATAATGGAGCTATTTACAAACAGAAAATCCATGAAAATCCTTATTTTCCCCTATTTTGGATTTGCGTGAGTAGTGAATTACCTAATATATAAGCAGCAGGGAGGAAATCTATTGAATTGTTTAAGTGGCAGATAGTCAACTCTGTATAATCTTCTTTCCAAGTCACCTCTTGACTTGGTGCTCCTACTTCTCCTGGTGGCATAATTGTTCCATTTGGTTAGGCTCAAAATTCGGAATACCTTTGACTTTTCCATCTTTCTCCAAAATCCTTGCGCGTAATCTCTTACCAAATACCTTTGATCCTACCTGTGTGACTGGTGCCTCCTATTCTCCTGCCAGTCACTGCTCGCTCGTCTCCCTCGCTGCAGGCAAACTTGTTTGCCAACTGCATGCGCGCACACGAGAGATTTCCCCATGAGCTTTCTCTGTCACCTCTGCATGGAATGCTCGTCCCTATGTTTATGAAGGCAGAATCATCCTTATTTGTAAAATTTATTAATATGTATAATAACATATATAATGATGTGATAGGTAAAATTAGTAATTTAAAACAAAACTCCCTTTCTCTTAGCTTTTCACACAAAGGGTTTTATTTACAGACACAATCACACTGAAATCCCAGAAAACCATATGCATTTAAAATCTCAAATTTACTTATTTGGTGTAGATTTACAAAACTTTGACTGTATGGTTAATTATGCTGAAAAGATGACAGTTTTGTTACCTCCAGGGAGGCATTTTAATTGTCTGTTATAGTTCAGTTCTCTGTGAGCCAGAAGAAATCCATCCAGCAATGTTAGACACGTTAATGGTATTTTAAAAAATTTATTGCAGATTTCTTTTTTTCAATACACACAAAATTGAGTTAGAACATAATATACTTCTCTTATGAGCAAAATCCCTGTTTAACATTTTATAACAATAAATGTGAAACATTGCTAAGGAGAAGTACTTATCAAACTGTGTTACATGGAATATTATTTTTAGATGATAATGTTACTTGCACCATAGATTAAAAAGAAGATTCCTGTTTGTTGTATCACATGACATTTGCACAGCACACTGATATTCAGGATACTCATGTCGCACTAGCAGAACTAAATGTAACATGATTTGCAACATACAGTTTGGGAAACATTCATGTAGAACAAATTGTTTCGACTACAAAATCCTTACTTAAACAGCAAAGAGTCAAGGAAAGGGAGTTCTGCCTCTCTTTGGGCCACAGTTTTATTTATTTATTTTAATTTAATGTAATTTAATTTTTTCCATCACCACTTATCCCCTCTATTTCCTCTTCTACCCCCCTCCCCCACAGCTGTAAATGATAAGCAGCCTCACTCTGGGGTCCACTTTGTAGCAGTAACGACAACTTAGTGCAGGAAACCCAGGGAAAGTCAAATCTCAGCAAATTACTGTCCAAGAAGTTAGATCATTTGTCTCTTCCTATCTGCCGTTTCTCTTTCTTAGAGAGTTTGGTTTCATACTGTTAAAAAGATGTCTATATACCCACCAAGTAAATTACAAGATCCCATCTACCTTTTACATTTGGATTCTGTTTAGAGGAGTGAA